ATCGTATATTACAGTGTTTCCCCTGCATTAACACGAGTGAGGCGGGCCGCATCGCTCAAATGCTCAGCTGCCACACATAAATTTTCCCAAAACACCGCCTCGCTGACGAAACTTTTGACAACTTGAAAAAGAGATTCAAGAGTAATACAATGTCTTCAGAATAGCTTAGAATGCACCAAATTGCACAATTTTTTCAAAAATATTCCGGGGGGCATGCGGCATGCATCCCCGAACCCCCCATAGCTGGGCGAGCATCTGCACTGCTTGCTTTGCTAGGACCTTTGCTTTGCTAAACGCACAAACACACCATTGAAAAAATTTACTCAGACCTGTCTGGCCAGGGGAAACACTGTATTACATACGCTCGACTGTGACTAGCTTCGTAACCCGGGCGTGGGTGAACGCTCTGCCGCGTGCGCAATCCCCCGCGCTCGCACCTTACCCGCCGTTAGCTACGTGATCACGATGCAGACGATGTTGCCTTGTTAAAATGCCCGCCGTCCTTTTTCTCCGTATTTCGTCGTTCGTTTTTGGCTTTTTCGTCGTCGCTACACGTAGATGTACACAACTGGCTATGTATGAACGAATGGGGGAAAGGTTATTGAGGACATGATGTTCGTGGCGTGGAACGTTCTACTGTTAGTAAACATGTTGTCTTCATTGAGTTGTAGACCGTGTGTACACAACTGACAACTGGCTATACATGTATGAACGAGTGTGGAAAGGTTATGAAAAGGACATGACGTCTGTGGCATGGAACATTCTACTGTTAGTAAACATATTATCTTCATTCACTGGTAAAAGGTTGGGGGAGTGTGTGGGAAACCCTATCAATAGAAGTTTGATTGGAATGCTATCGCCGTGCCAACGGGAGGCTTGTGTCTGCCCCGGGGCCGCCATGTTAATTTGTCTTCGTAATTTGCAGAAGTTGTGGATGTGCACAGCTGGCTATGTATGAATGAATCTGTAAAGGTTATATATATATATAATATATATATATAATAGAGGACATTCAGGCATTATAGAGAATATCCGAGGAAAGATTATAGGGACATTCGTGGCATGGAATATTCTACTGCTTAGTAAAATATTAAATATATTGTCTTCATTCACTAGTAAAATATTAAACATATTGTCTTCATTCACTAGTAAAGGGTACTCAACTGGCTGGCTATATGTATAGACGAGTGTGGGACATTTTTCAGATGAAACGACGTCTGTGGCATTGAACATTCTACTAGGACATTTAATAAGTTACATGTTATCTTCAATAAGTGATAGACATGTGGTTTTGAGGTTTGCAGCACATCAACTAAACGTACTTATTTGATATCATGTACGGTATAGCTACCAGTTAGTCAGTAGTGCAAATATTATTCAATGAATTCCCGTTTGTAAAACAAGGACTATTAATTATACGGCTGAGATGGATAATTCTCACTCAGTTTACATGTGTGTGGGAAAAGCCTATCAATTGAAGTTTGATTTAAATGTAGTCGCCGTGCCGACGGGAGGCTTGTGTCTGACCCGGGGCCGCCATGTTAATTTGTCTTCGGAGTTTGCGATGTCAGCGCCGATTGTTTATCGTCTTGGTTAATCCTTTGTGAGCGGCAAGATTCCCAGCAATCGTACCTGGTAATCATTATTTGAATGGCTATTAAAACCACAAAGCCAGGGTTCTGCATCAGTGATTCTTACCTGCTGCCCTAGTCACTGCCTTCACACAGCCGGCGTCCACCCAGCCAGCCAGCCAGCCAGCCAACCAGCCAGCCAGTAAGGGAGAGAGTGAGAGAGAGAGAGAGAGAGAGAGAGAGAGAGAGAGAGAGAGAGAGAGAGAGAGAGAGAGAGAGAGAGAGAGAGAGAGAGAGAGAGAGAGAGAGAGAGAGAGAGAGAGAGAGAGAGAGAGAGAGAGAGAGAGAGAGAGAGAGAGAGAGAG